TCATTTTTGGTGGCTCACCTACATCCAGCCATTGAGCTGATCTCCGCCGATTATCATACTCAATCCATTTTCATTCACGGTAATAATTCGATCAAGAAATGGATCACAGTGGCTTCTGAGCAGCAACGACGAACAAATTTCCAAACATCTGAACTTTTGCGCTTCGTCCAGCTCGTGTGGGACCCATCGATCCAACTTCTTGACCTTCCCAATCTGCCGGAGGTGGGTTGAGATAGTTTTTTGGCAGACATCAAGTTTGTCCGCCATCTGCACCTGTGATTGGGTGGGGTCCGACTCCACCACCTCTTTCAGTTCGTTCTTGTTGATGTCGGAAGGGCTACCTGACCTCGATCCATCTTTGAGGTTTATTTCTCCGGCGGCGAGTTTCTTGAACAAACCTCCAACTGTGGATTTGGAAGTGGTTCCCTCCCCAAATGCTTTGTTGACATTAGCTGCCACCTCCCTGCTCGAACGACCGAGTTTGAACTCATAAAGCATAATTCCGCAAATTATAATCTTATTCATTGCCCTGATTAAAACTCCGAAACTCCCAGAATTGAAACAACGAAGAAAATGTATGGGTATATTCTGATAGCGGAGAAAATAGGCTACGAAATCACATATGACACTTGATACAAGAACTGTACAGTGACACGCAATAATCGATTGCATTAGTTTGCCAGCGTGGCTACCGAAGAGCTTTCTACTAGACCCAATACTTTACCGTGTTTGCGAAATCTTGCGAAGTATTCCTCAGAAAATCTCGATTGTTAACTTTTCTCTCCTCACTTACTAAAGTTCAATATAGGGACTGGGATTTTTCCATTGAAATCTCACCATATTTTCATTGATTTCATTTTCTAGTTAGTCGTTCCGTTCTTGTCCTATATTGAAAGGATGTTAAATGTGTGACTTTGATGATGAATATGAAGTTCTGATGGAAAATTTGCTAAATACGTACTGCTGAAATATTATTAACAAGGAACTTGTAGCAGTCTGTTTTTAACTAATTTATATAGTGATATATATTATGAAGTAATTGTCTTAATTTTTTTTTCTGTTGAGAGACAAATGTAAGAAAATTCATTCGTGTGCAATGTGCGTATGTGCATTATCGTATATTTGACTGTGCATTATCGTTTATTGACCATAAATATGTACATTATTTAAGTGCAATCGCATTTGAGTTCAACGGGTAATTCAGAGTGTCATTTTGGAGACATTATCTTAATGGTACGCGTCGATAAAATATTATTCAACTTTGAAAGGGTGATTAGTCTCAAATGAAATGGTTTATTTTCCATTTATACTTTTATTTCATCGGCTACTGTATTACATTGAAATGAAACTATTGCAGATTGTTTTGCAAGTCAGATCTTTATAATATGATTGAGTGTTCATAATTGAGATGCGCAGTGATTATGAGTGTGTTGAACTCTTTAGCCGTAAAATGTTCACTTCGAGTTACGTAATTCTCGTTTAGTGGAAATTTTCAATAAATTAAAGCTGAAATAAATGTGTTCATATCAAATTGAAAGGTTCACGATCACAGTCGATATTTGAAAAACACGTGATAATGTGGTTGAATCAAATTTGTGAGTAATACATGAACGATGAGCGTGACCCAATTGTGTGTGCAACAAAATTTAAGGAATGTCATTTGTATCATGTGGTTGAACACATTGGTCGTACGTAAACTCATACAAGTAGTGAGATTCGTTACATTTTGTTTGAAACGAATACTTTGTTGTTCGAAACGTCGCAAAGATTCTGAATCACTTCCATTCACCGTCAATAAACATGAACCAAGCCGTGATTATGATTCATCACAGTGTTAGTTCGATTCCGTTCATTTGATGAGCTTTTCATTTTTGCTTTTACTTTCTGTCGTTCCGCAATGCAACTTCTCATCATCATTGATTGGGTGAGTTTTGCCTATGGTCTGAGCAAAAGAAACATATTGACTTATTATTATTATGGCGAAATGTTTTCAATGGAAGCAGTCGGTAATAATGATCTGAGTGATTGCAGCGCAGAATCAGTGGAATAGCTGGAGTAATAAACCATTCGTAAATGTGGTTGAAGAAAAAATTGATGAATATCGAAGAAAACAAGCGGAACTGTTAGCGTTAGCGTCTCAGCAAGAAAATGCATGCGATGAACCAGATTTCTTTAGTGATATGCAACCGAACGTTAAACGCGCGAAAAAGGTTTTTATTTTGTGTTCACGTGAAATTCTGTCATTTTATTCTATTCCATTATTTGTTTTCTTATGATGCCATCAACTTTCTTTCAAATTACTGCTATTTATTTAATGACCCCAAAAAAGTTCATCAAAAAAATTCCGATGGTACATCTTTTTGTTGTACTCAGAAGGTGTATTAAAGTGTACTGGAAACGGGCGATGTTGTTCAATATGCAACAAAGAAAAATTGTTCGTCTAATATTAATCGCAATGAATAAAGTTACAACACAATTTCAGGCGTTCATAGGTTCAAAGAACAATACAACGGTTGATTCACGGAGCGAGAATTTATTCGCTGTTAAGGAAGACCAATTACCGTTTAATGTAATCTTATTTTCGTTCTGAAATTAATATGTTTTTGATGTAAAATTTTGATTGGCATAACATGAAATTTGATTTCGTTGAAGATTTTCTGGAAACATCATGTCATTTTTGAATGGGTAACGTTTGAATTGTATTCTTGCAAAGTTGAACATTGATGCTGTTAGTTATGTGAACAGACGTTCATTTTTTGTGAAACCGAAAAGTCGTATTCTAAAGCAGCATTTAAAAGATACGATTCTACTGCAGGAATGTTCAAATGAATTAGGTGACTTAGATGAAACTAACTGTACTGAGGAAGATTCTTGGGATACGCGAATTGATTTGGACGAAGTTGATGATTTGTTGAAGGAGGTTATTCGTTTTACCTCTTTATAATATTCATGTTTTTGATTAAGATATCCACTTGTTGAGATACTGTTCTGTTTGTGTGGCTAAATTTAAAGTGGATTCATTCCAGCAAAGAAGAAAAGAGCGACTGGAGAAACAACGACGCCGAAAAGCAGAACATGAAAAGAGACTGATGGAAAAACATTCCAGTCAATTATGAGAAGCGATGTGAAAGAAAAAAATTGACTGAATTCGTTTAAGGAATGAATATTCAGTGGAAAATCGTTTGAATTACCTCGATTTTGTCAGCTTAAATATTATCATGATCTAAGGTTCGCATCTAAAGATCAGTCTAATATTCCTTTGGCCAACAGAAATCTTCATGAAATTTTATGTTGAATTAAGTAAGATGATTTCCTTAATTATTAATTCTTGAAAAGATTACGTACTTATTCGTTGATGTATCTAGTTGTCAGACATTTTCACGTTAAGGTATTCTTCTATTTAAGTGTCTATCATTACCTTGCGACCTGTCTTCGCTCTCTATGTGGGTACAGGTCTACCGATCCCGATGTTACTCTTTGTTGAGCAGACCTTTTC